CACAAGTATTACTACGTTGCCTATCAACTTCGTTAACTATGCAATGTCCTCGAAATGATAATTAAGAGAGATACATGTAGTCAACATAAATGCATATATTTACAAAATAAAAACAGTTAAACAGTACATATTCACATTAAAAAGGGTGGAAAAAAAATCAGTTGTAGATTTTTTATGGGTACATGATTGTCAAATTAAAGTCCACTAATCGTTTTATCCACAATATGTGGATCAGTTTCCCTTAGATGATTGTGACACTGGACCAGTCTTTACAGCTTTCAGCACCACCTGATCCTTCAGAAGAAACTGGTTATGATCTTTCTATGCAAAGATTGAGATTGTATTCCTTTGACCACCTCCGGCTACACTCAGAAATATCTAAGGATATATACATATCAGATGAATTAATCTTACCTCAGGTGAACAATCCCTAATCTTAGCAACAATGGATATGTGAACAAGGGGGGGGGCAATAGTAGAATCGGTATGAACAGTCCATATATCCCATAATAAACTTGAACAATCCTAGAACTTCCGATTTATCTTTCACGCTTTGTCTTCTGCAAAATGCAAATGTTACACAAATGCCTCTCCTCTCTGTCCGTTACAATCAACTGAAAAAGACTAAATCTTCAAACTTTATACTTCTTTGATTAAGTTACCCAATAATATTCTCTTTTTTGGTGGGTCCACATGCATATCACATCTGTAGAGTCTATACATGCGTTAACTTGTGTCCTTAAGCTGAAAAAATGTTATGTTTATGCGACTTTTATTAGTATCATTTCAAAGCCCGCCTCAGTAACGTGAGCTACGTATTAGGCGCAGCGTTTACGCAAAGTAAAATCTACCAATCACAGTACACACATGTGACCTTGAGGTGCTCAGCCTCTCCATAAGGTCGTGTGTGCCTTTATTCATTGCCGAAGTTTAAAAGCTCATTTCAATTCAAATTGAAGTATGAGTGCTGAAGATGTCGCCTAGTAGGGCGATGAGAGCTTCGCAAATTAACTATCCAGCTCAGAGAACACAACCACATCAAAAATATTTGTCACTTGTCAGATACTTAAATAAGATGTTAGAATGATCTCGGTGACAGACACTGCAAAGTTAGAAATAGTTATTTGAGAATCTAACCAACCCATTTTAGTCAGACTATTTACTAGTTGAGGTTACTGGCACATTCGTACAACCAACCATATGAGAATTTGTTTTGTAATACGCATAAACACATCACTTGGTTTTTGAGGTGAGTTTTGTTACAGAATGCCACCTATCAAAATCTGCTCAATGTAGTCAAATTAAATTAAGTTCATGGGCCAGTTAAGGTGACATTTATAAGGCAGTGACCACAGATAAATCATCAATCAAGGTGTGAGACCATACAATCCATAGTCAAAGACTATGTGTGATCCAAAATCGACGAGTATTCATAGAATAAACAATCTTATGAGTTCCATATTAGTTTGTTTATTCGACGTGCCACACAGTGAAACAGCATTATTATTTAATGGATGACTGATATGCACCAATAAAATGTCTTTTTTGTTGACAGGCTGTTCTTGGTGATATGTGTCCATATAATGTGTGTGTTGGTTTGACAGTCTGTTATATTTGCTAGGTATATATGGATCGATATTCCATTATAATTAGCCAATCATGTTAAGACTGTCTATTGATTTGTTCATTTTGAATATTCGCTCACACACTTGTTCGGACATTCTTATATTTTTGCTCTCACACTTTTGTGTGACATTGATTCTCCTTGTGTTTGGAAAATAGAAGTATCATCGCAAACCTAGTGGTCTTCTGATTTCCGTCTTTCTTGCGTCAGGACTATTAAATTCTCGACCAGTACATAACAATAATTTGGCGATGGGGAAAACTATGGACTCTTCTAAATTGGAATTACTATTTGAACGACAAATGAAATTAATGGAAATGTTCGTCAACCAACAGACTGGTTCAACTTCACCTTCAAGCAATCCGAATCATCCCATGCTACCATCTGTCGACGGCATTGTGAATAGTATTTCACAGTTCAATTATAATCCAGATGCGAATGTCACTTTTGACACATGGTATCAACGATATGAGGATTTATTCACAGTTGATCTCGCCTCACAAGACGATGCTTGGAAGGTGCGAGTGTTATTATGTAAATTGGGTCCCGCAGAATATGAAAGGTACTGCAACTTAATTTTACCCCAAAAACCACGTGACAAGTGTTTCGATGATACAATAAAGCTACTGCGTGAACATTTTGGAGACCACTCCTCATTATTCAGCATACGTTATCGTTGCCTCAAGCTGACAATGAATGAAAATGATGATTTTCTTACTCACGTTGACACAGTCAACCGAGAATGTGAGAGATTTCGACTCAGGTCCTTAACAGATGATCAATTCAAAGCCTTGATTCTCATATGCAGTCTTCAATCCCCTCGTTTCACAGATATCCGAACTCGACTGCTCAATCAGCTAGAACAAAATCCTAAGTTAACATTACATGACATAGCTGATGAATATCAACGGCTGATTAATTTGAAGAAGGACACACACCTGGTTGAATCAACACCTTCGAGAAGCTCTGATATTCATGCATTACGAAAGAGCAAAAATCTCTCATCATCCACTCCTGACCCACCTTCTCCTAATGTTCCGCGTAAATCTACACATACTCGTCCAACTTCTCAAATTACTGCAAAGAAGACCCCACCATCACCATGCTGGCATTGTGGCGCGTGGCACTTTGTAAAGTCTTGTCCATACAAAAATCATCGTTGCAGCAAGTGCAAAGTCATCGGTCATAAAAATGGATTTTGCCAGCCACGCAAACTCAGATATCAAAATACAGCGGAAGCTCGACAAACTGTTGGTCCTGAATCCCCAAAAAAGTCAATGAGCCTAGTCGCAACCTGTCAAGTCACAACACCAGGTATGCGCAAATATCTTGATCTTCAGATGAATGGTCATGATGCACGTCTGCAGCTAGATACCGCCTCTGATATTATTGTTATATCAGAGAAACTTTGGAATGATATTGGCAGACCACCAATCGCAAATACTTCTCAGACTGCTGTCAGCGCCTGTGGTGGGCGGCTCAAACTAATTGGTGAACTCAAATGTTCTGTTTCCCTCCGCAATATCAAATTCACAGGAATTTGCTACGTCACCAAGAGTGATTTAAATCTTTTGGGACTTGATTGGTTCGATCGTTTGCATCTGGCTGATGTCCCACTAAATTCGATATGCAATGCAGTCAAGAAGCACAAAATGCCAGACAATTCCGGACGAAGCCAAAGCCGCAAACCCAACGGGCAGACAAAACGACAGACGTCAACAACAAGCTCAACGGTTCCAGATAAACCCTCAAGAAAACACCCTACTAATCATCAATCTTCTCAAAAGGGGACTTGATATATATCCATATAATGTGTGTGTTGGTTTGACAGTCTGTTATATTTGCTAGGTATATATGGATCGATATTCCATTATAATTAGCCAATCATGTTAAGACTGTCTATTGATTTGTTCATTTTGAATATTCGCTCACACACTTGTTCGGACATTCTTATATTTTTTGCTCTCACACTTTTGTGTGACATTGATTCTCCTTGTGTTTGGAAAATAGAAGTATCATCGCAAACCTAGTGGTCTTCTGATTTCCGTCTTTCTTGCGTCAGGACTATTAAATTCTCGACCAGTACATAAGAATGACACAGTTTCGAACAAAATTTATTATTGTTCATAATCATATCAATTGTAATCACACGACTTTGAAACGAGTTTTATTCATCCTCTCCTATTTGTCGGCCTTGGGGTAGTAGAATTTTCCAGATATCTGGGTGGACATGTGTTCAGTCATTCCTATGACATGTATTTTCAGTTGATCCGATAAACAAAGCTTCCGTCGTTATCAATCTCTATCTCCACTCTGTGACATTATATTTTGAAACTGCCATCCTATCGCATTATACTATTGTGTGATTGTGTGTAATTCCAAGTGGTGAGTGCTATAGCTGAGCTATTCTCTAGATTTCTTATCTTATTCGGGTCAAACAATCTAGAATTTGCTAGGTTTTTATGTTCAGCTAGTCTGACTGCCCCTGCTCTACTAGTTTGACCTATGTATTCGACCTGACAATCATTGTAGGCAGGGTATTAGATAAACTAAATATTTTTGTTTTAAAGGCTCCACAGGATTGATCCTTTAACCGACAAAGTTTGTTTCTAATTAAGTTTGTGGGTGGTTTTAGTGTCAGCCACTTTTATTACTGTCTGCCTTGTTAAGAATTCAGCGTAAGGTTTCCAAGGTTCCTTCCTTGTATGGAATTACTACTGGACATAAAAACTTAGCAAATTCTAGATTGGTTGACCCGAATAAGATAAGAAATCTAGAGAATAGTTCAGCTATAGCACTCAATACATGCAGTTACACACAACCATACAATAGGATGCGATAAGATGACAGTTTCAAAATCTAATGTAACAGCTGGGTGGAGGGAGAGATTGATAATGACGGAAGCTTTGTTTATCGGATCAACTGGAAACACGTGTAATAGGAATGATTCAACACCTATCCACCCAGATATCTGGAAAATTCTACTACCCCAAGGCCGACAAATAGGAGAGGACAAATAAAACTATAAAACTCGTTTCAAAGTTGTGTGATTACAATTGATGATATGATTATGAACAATAATAAATTTTGTTCGAAACTGTGTCATCCAGTAAATAATAATACTGTTTCACTGTGTGATACATCTAATAAATTTACTAATATGGAATTACTTACTACCACAATGCCCAAGTTTTACACATATATATTAATATTATGTGAAGAAGGTGATGATGAACTATGCTGCGAATCAAGTCCATAGTGCTAATTCATACATAAAGATGGAAATATACACATGCTTATCATATTTCATTTAATGATGGGTACAAAAAATAAAAATGACACATTAACCTAATATAATATAACTAATCTTGAATATAATTAACACTTAGTCGAATACTTTATTTCTACACTTATAGTGACCGGGGGTGGGATGGGATGGTTTTTCACAAGATAATTTACTAACACGCTTTAAATGCTACTTACAATCAATCACAAAACACTGGTCTTCAGAATACAATAGAAGATAATACCAAAAGTTTATTATTAACGATGTTGTTGTAGAAAAGAAAAGAATTTGTTTAATTTTTTCTTCTTCAACTGAATTGTTTATTTACAGGTGCACCACCAAAAATAACACTTATCAGACAGACAGACAGAGAGAGAAAGAGAGGTATTCTTCTTACTGTTGTTTGATTGGTAATATAATTATAATAGTAATAATAGAGTAATGTATATAGATAAAGAAATTGGACAAACAGTTATTATTTATAAAACTCCAATTCTTGTTCATCTTTCTTCAAATTATTTTTATAACCTTTTTCAAAGTCTTTCGCTAAAACAACATAACGATTTTCTCGAACTGCTTGCATACCAGCCTGAAAAAATTATTAAAGAAAAAAAAAGACAAAACGCAAAATTTTATTAGATGATAGATAACAGCAACTTTGAGAAGAGAATAAAAGGCATTAACAAGAGAAAACCTTTATTATATGTCCAAACCAAGTTCACTTTTAATGGTTTGAAAAAATTTGGGCATTGGGTATGATAATAGTAATAACAATAATAATAATAATAATGACAGCTTTATTCCAAACGGTATTTCTGGTACAGGTATGGAATTTTCAGCGTGCATTACAATATATTGCATCTAATTACCTCATAAATTTTATAAGATTTTTAAAATAAAAAAAATAAATAAAAACCAACGCCAAATAAATAAAAGATAAAAAAACAGCATAGCGTTTACATTTCAAACAATGCACCACAGGATATGAAATATAAAACTGGTGTGTAATAGAAGATGAGAACAACAGTGTAATAGTAACGAGGGAAGGAAAACAAAAACTAATAGGACTATTTGTTAGAGTGCCGCAGTATGTTGATCGTGTCATACCTAACGGATTTCTCATCACATAACAGCTGTGCCAGATATGGTATTGTGGAGTTTTCGTATTTGGTAGTCCTAGCATATAGCCTCCTTCCTATAGCTGCTTCTAGTTCTACCAGATGAAATGCAAGGAGACAGCTGCGTATAGAAAGGATGCTCGGGGTCTGACAATATTGTATTCGCTAGTTTCTTACATGAATATTCATTCGGTGAACTACCATTTCTAGACTGTCTAGTTAAGAGAAAGGAAAACGGACATTTTAGTATGTCCATATTCAGGAAGAAAACCCACTCCAATTAGATTTTTTTATATTTTTAGATTTACAGCTTGATTCCACACTGTATTTTTGGTACAAGTATGGAATTTTCAGCATGGATATCGGTAGCCCAAATTTCGCAGGCCGACCATAGATATCAGGTGTGAGCCGGCGTGGGCTCGAACCCCGGACCATGTGCATGGTCGGCGAGAGTCCTAACCACTGTGCCACCGACTTCAAATCATCACAACCCATCAGCGCAAAGATTTCAGTTGTTTCAAGTGTTCTTCTTCTTCACTCTCCGATAACGAATGAGAAAGAAAGAGAAGAAGAAGAAATATCAAACATTACTGAAACTCTCAAGAAAAACAAATACCCAAGGAAATTCATCAACAAAATCAACAGAGACATTAAGTATGGCCGAAAACGCATTCCGAAAACATGGACATCAACAGTCGTCATTCCATATAGAGCAGAGACATCAGACGATATCAGAAGAGTACTCAATCAGCTCGACATTAGAGTTTTCTTCAGAACATAAGACAAACTACGAAACAACCTTGTCCATATAAAAGACCAAATCCTCTATCTAATTGTGTCTATATAATAAAATGCTTGATTGGAATATGATGCGATATACATCGGACAAACATCACCAGAGAGAAATCAAGGGAATCAGAAGAAATGAACACCGTAGAGCATCTCGTCGACCACCGAGAAATCCGGTTGAACTAGAAAAACTTGAAGAATCATCAGCCTTAGGTGGTGTACACGCTATAGAATCAGGCCACAAAATTGATTTTGACAATACTGAAATAATCCAGAAAAAGCACTTCAGAAATCACAAAGAACGTCTAACATCATCAGAAGCACTTCATATCAAGTGGAATCCAAATTGCCTGAACTGAACAGGAATGATGGACTAAAACAGAATCTGACCTGGTTACAACACCTTCTTCCCCAATGAAGTGACAAAATCAACACGAATGTAGATATGATAGAGAAGATTTGTAGCTCAGGTGGATGATTTTGATATGGTTGTGTTCTCTGAACTGGATAGCTGATTTGCGAAGCTTTCATTACTATACTAGGTGACATCTTCAGCGCATACTTCAATTTGAAGCTCAGAGAACACTACTACATCAACAACACGAATGTGATAAGCAAGTTCACTATGTAAACACACACTACGTTTATAATGTCACACACTGATCAAATCCAACAATCTACACTTGATTTTGTTATCTTCATCAAACGACCAACTTGACAACAAAAAAGGACCCCAGACAGACGATATAGTTGATCAAGTTAGTCAACTTTATTTTGATATCATAACAGATGTACTATTACCTTTGTTATTATTTGGTTAAGTGAGTAATCTTCATTGTTATTTTGACTTTCAATATATCCCTTTAACTTGATCTAAGTAGTCTATTTTCTCACCTCTTAACTCTTTGTTACATATATGCAGAGATTTTGTAAATTCCGGTTTAATAATACTTCGATAAAACTATTAGCACTAAATACCGAAACGTCAGTAAAAGTAGCAGCAATATCGTTTTGTTTTTCATTCATCGAGAAATGCAAAAACCTTTATTATAATGAAAAGAACCTTTATATCATTGTTGGAATGAAGGGAGAACAAACAGAAAAAAGAAATGTTACTCAAGGACCATGCAGGTCTAAGCCTCCGCCGGAGTAGTATCTCACGCCTTGCACAAACTAGGCAATTTTTATTGGCGCATCTTTTGATGCCCATAATATACCAAGTTTGTGTTTTAATTAAATAATATTGATAAATATAATGCAGTTGGCAATGAGCCATACTTATTATGTAACGGCTAGCCATCCTATGTCCTGGGTGCCTAAACCTCGGTAGGTGGAGAAGGAGGTTCATACCTATGACACATTAGTTGGAAGTAGGACTAATTGACTGGTTTCAACGTAAAACTTTGCACAGATGTCCAGCAGTTCCAGTTGTCACACTCCCTTCATGTACTACACAAACCAATGACTTTCACCATCTCCAGGACACCAACCGGGAGGCCAGTCTACATCTCCCTACGTGACTGGTTGACTGGCTGGCTTAAACGAAGTGTTGTGGATTCCATTGACTGATGAAGTCATGTTGGTTTCGGTTTGACCAACCAGCACTAGCTAACTCTCTTCCAACCTGGTCCATCCTATGTCAGTCAGCTAACATTTCCCATTGGTCAAGGAAGGCGACCAATGACTAGGAATGCATCAGTAACGCATGTCCTGACCATCTCAATCGATGCCGCTGCTTCACAACCTCGTCGACTGCTTGATTTCCTCTCCCACTTACCTGTCACTCGACTGAGGCCTTACCTGAATATTGCTCACTTTAGTATAGCACTGAACACTGGAGATAGAACGCAGGCACCTATGATGGAAGACAGCTAGCCAGGTATTTCGTATGTTCCACTTTTAATGACCATGTCTCGCAGTGGAAGTCAAGCGCCGAGATATATGAACTACAGTTCCAGTTTAAGTAATTTACTTGCTGATACTTATTCCAGCTAGTAATCAGATACTTTGATTAGACGCTAACTAGTTTCATGTGCGTCTGTCTGTTTTCGACATAGAAATTTCCAACGATGTGCGGCAGTTCAAGTTGCCAAACTCCCTTCTTGTAGCACACAAAGCAAGAGAAGAAGATAGAAGAAATGCATAATAGAGACAGACAGTAAACAGAGGTGTGAGACAAAGGAATAGTTATAACGAAGAACAATATAGTTTCATTGGAAATCATGAGTCACAAGGAGTGGATGCATCTGCACCAGCCATTGAGAACGATTTTCAGCCATGTCACCAATTGTTTCCAACCATTCGTTTTTACCGTCCCGAGGACCCCAACCAGGAAGTCTACACCTTTCTACGTGGCTGGCTTAAACTAACTGTTGTGGATTTCATTGACTGGTGAAGCCATGTTTTGGTTTGACCGCCGCTAGCCAACTCTTTTCCAGCCTGACCCTTATATCAGCCAACATCGCTCGTCGAGGAAGGCGATGACTAGGCATACGTAGTTTGTTTGTTGCAGACTAAAGCCTCTTAGTAAGCACATAAAAAGAATACTAGGAAAAGTACAATAAGTTTGTAAATTTTAGTTCATAAACATCAATCAATCTTAATCTTAAATATATAATAACAATACATATTATAATTAAAATTGAAAATAATCACCTCTTGACAGATTGCATTGATATCAGCACCAGAGATTTTATCCGGTCTAGCCACATAGTCTTCTAAATCTATATCATCACTGAGATTCATTTTACTAGTAATAGTCGAGAAGATAAGACGTTTTTGACGACGATCTGGCATTGGGAATTCAATTTTACGATCAAGTCGGCCAGGTCGTAAAAGTGCTGGATCTAATGTATCTGCACGATTTGTAGCCATAATAACCTGATCGGAAAGAATAAGAAAAAGTATTACAAATTACTTGAAAAACAATAAACACTGTTCTGCGTCATATATAAACAAAACACAATGGTGAGACATAAGACGGACACGATGGTATCTTAGAATCGAATATAACATTCAATACTCCCTGAACACACTCATGTACTGACTGTTTAGTGGAAGAGTTTTATGTGGGGTGGACCTTTTATGTATAAATAATAATAATAATACTAATAATATGCTAGTTCTGGGGTTACAATAGAAAAGCAATTGTGAATGTTAAGCGTAAACAATAGTATACAGAAATGCTTATTTAGTTACTGTGATATAAATTGTCATTAGAAGAGAAAAAGTAAAAGGTATTCGCTATTGACTATTAAGTTTCTTTTGACTACTTTCACAGCTTAATTATTCAACGTATTACTGTAATTTAAGCTGAAAAAAAGAAAGTATTTCTTAAAAGGGTTAAACTTCAAAAGGTAAAAGCAATAAGAGTCAAGGAATTACATTGTCTTATAGACGACTACTGGTTGACTGATTGGTTTCAGTATAGAACTTTGTATAGAAGTGGAACATTTCAAGTTGCTACACTTCATAAAGTACACAAAAGTGCAGAAGAGGAATAAAAAAAGAGGTGCGAAAGAAGTATAATAAGTGGAAATGTACAGAGGAAGAATAGTAAACATGGGAATATTACGGATACGGGAGATCATAGAAAGTGAGTGTGCATCTGCGTCACTGAGAACGCTTTTGAGCCATATCACTAATAGTTTCAAGTTATTGGTTCTCAGTATCCTGAATAGCCTAACCAAACAGTCTATACCCCTCAACTTTTTTTCCTTCACATTCCCCAGTGGAACATAGGGGGGCTTCAAGCTAGTAGCTTGAAGTTTCTGTAGCAGTGTTTAATTTTACAGGATGGGGTTGCTAGCCTCATGCCCAACCTTTCCTCTTTACCAGCATTATTTCTGGCTTAGCGAGGTAAAGGAGTGTGTCCGTGGCCGGGGATCGAGCCCCGGACCATGTGCATGGTCTGGTCGGTGAGCGTCCTAACCGCTGTGCCACCGACGCACACCTGGCTAGCTCAAACCAAGAGTCAAATACTACAACTACTGATGCCAGGTTTTGATTTCACTACCATTTGCTCCTTTCCAACTTAATCCTGTGTCTGCCGACATTGTTTGACACATCCTAGACGTCTCAATAGATGGGGTTTCACAACCTCTTCTACTGACGTTTCTTCCTCAACTAGCGGTCTACACCCAACCTTAATATCGTTCACCATATTATGCCACTTAACACGAAAGATAGAACACAACCATCTCTGGTCAAAGACAGCTAACCTTTTCATATCTTTCACTTTCAATGACCATAGCCATAAAAAAAAAGAAACAGTGGACTGCCGAGCAGTATACATGTCCTCCGGAGTGCCACATGAGCCCTTTTCATCTATACTGAGATAACGTCAGTAATGGGTCCGTCAGGGCTGATACAATTTCCCAAATAAGTAATCAACACGCTCTACCACTTCATTCCCTATCTTTAAACTCGTGACTGGTATAATCCAGTCCTAAAATTGTCTTAAATATAGATAAAAGTAAAATAACCTTTTTAATCTTAACAGATATAGTATAAACATGTGAAGAGTAAGTTAGGGGTGCGTTTATACTCACTTTAACATTCACATTTTGATCAAATCCATCCATCTGATTTAAAAGTTCCAAGAGAATACGTTGTACTTCACGATCAGCTGTTGAAGAGAATATCAAACAATGTATATATAACAGAATACTAATAACAATCATGAGGTGGAAAAGACTTAAGAGTTTAGTAATTGGAATGGACGCTAAGCACAGCTAGCAAAGAATTACTGATTATATTCGATAGGATCTGTATGAAAATTTTCGGAGAAATCGAACAGAAAATACACTATGATATTATAGAAGGCTTTAACACAAATCCCACTGATTAGGATACGAAGTACGTTGTCTACAATAATCGCTCAGCAGAAGCCAGATATGATACTAACGTATTTCGTATACATAAAACAAAGTGTTTACTTAAGAAAAAGGGTTAGGTCGCAATAAACTCTGTATATGCAACACGCTAGTCTTAATATTAAGTTCATTAATGTTCATAGGAGTAAGGCGCAACATACAACTGATGGAGTTGTGTTAAAGAGAATAACTTTATCGATAATGAAGCTCCTGAAGACTAGAAAAGTATGAACATTGGCAACATGGCCTTCTCGGCTACAAGAATAAAGTTTAAGTAAACAAAAAATATTGGGCGTTTGGTTCACTGAATGAAAAAACAGACTTTTAAAAGCCTCGTCTAGCGAAGTTTTGTTGACCATGTAATATCACAACCTCTTACACAACAGGTATGAGATAATGTCAAAGCATGAGGGGTTTTCAGCATAGTGTTCTATATAATTAAAAGATAATCTGGAGAAGTACTTCAAATATGACTGAGTTGTTTTATTAAACAGTCTTAGACTGAAACCCAAGTATTATTAGTGAAAATTAACGATACATATGTACCATTGTAATAAAAATATTTGTCAAGGTGTTGTTTCTTTGAAAGTGAGTTACGCTATTGTTAACACTGACAAAAAATACTGTAAAAATAAGGTTGTTTAAAATGACTTTAAGGAATATATGTCCATGACATAACAAAGTCATTTGAAAAGAAATAGACATTACCTCCTGTCTGAGCATCAAATCGTTTTGTGGCAATAGCATCAATCTCGTCAATAAATATAATTGCTGGAGCATTCTCTTTGGCTAAGCGAAACACATCACGAACCATTCGAGGACCTTCTCCTAGGTACTTCTGGACGAATTCTGATCCAACTACACGAATAAAAGCAGCTGTAGTATGATGTGCAACTGCTTTAGCCAACATTGTCTTGCCACAACCTGGTGGACCATACATTAACACACCTCTGGGTGGATCAATTCCAATTTGTTTATACAATTCAAAATGAGTTAAAGGCAGTTCAACAGCCTCTCTGACTTCTTGCTTTTGAATATCCATTCCACCAATATCAGCATAGGAAACATCAGGTTTCTCATCTGAGTGTTTTGAAAATAATAAGCAAAGAAATATGCATAAACTTTTGTTGGTTTTTCATCAGAGTAAAAAGAAAAGGTGTTAGCAATGAGTATAAAATCTTTTTAGCAACACGTAGGACTACTTTTCACTCAGTATAAATTATTACATATCAAGTTAATAGATATGGGGATAACAGAAAAATGAATCAATAGGCTGTTAGTATATAATAAACAATAATGCATGGAAGCAAGTGAAGGATCCACAGAAACGAAATGACTGTCTTCAGTTTATCACTTCTAAAATACAGAGATTAATAGTACATGGAGGGAGACTGGTACCATTTCGGAATTTCATAAGGAAAGGATATAACTGGAAACCATGCAAACCGATACTGTAAAACGCCATAAAATAAGGAGAGACAAAAAACAGCCGTAATACTATTTAGATGAATTTTAAGTGTGAACGCATCTCTGTATCAATGAGTTATCCATGGGAAGTAGTTGATAACTTAGATGCTCTTAATATCTTTTGCGTAATACGTAATAGTTCTTATGTTTAATCACGAAAAACTCATTCATTCATGTCTGAACAATAAGATATTAATTCTGTTGCCTCTATATACTTTAACTTGAAGTAAATTTGCTTTCAAAGACTTGAGAACCTACACTTTTACGCATGTTACTTACAGCTTTTCAAATCTTTGAAAGTACCTAGGGTTATGTTTAAATATTCGTTCACACTATGATTGAAAAGTGAACAGTTGAAAAGTGGTTGACGGTTGGTCGAAATTTTCTTTAAAGCGTTATTATGTGATCTCATACAGAAGACTTGACTGGATACATTTGTTTTCCATCAGATGCTTGCACAGTTTTTCGATCATGTAACTAAACCTGGACTACGTGTGTACACTACTTGCATTTGGAGTATTCTTCTTCAAACAAAGTGGAATAAGGGAAATTTGTGCCTCACATGCCTTTGTGTTGTATGAGCCTACCAACCGACCTAGTTGCTCCATTGCGTATCATACAGACCAACAAACCCAACAATGAAATGATATAACTGACATAAAGATTGACAGTGTCAAAAGTGAAAAACACTATATTAGTCCAAAGACACGATATACACGCTTCTATGCCAATAAACATGCACAACTACAGAGAACAGTTCCACCAGAAAAATATGAAAACATTAAAATTCAGGAAACACGGAGAATGCCACTGAATTCCTAGAGGTCTGATAAGCAGGTTAAATTGGCATTGACAGATATGTCGACATGGATTGAATTGACCAATCGATAAGGAATAGTTTACAGTCAGTGGGTTAGATAAGAGGTCAATACTAATATAGGTGAACGAAATGACCAGAATATCTTTGAAGACGCTAAACACCACCAGTAAAGATGGTTAACTCATTCACAGAAAACTCTAGAAGCCTACCTTATAGAAAAGTTGGAGAGGGAAAATTAGTTCAGGAAGATAATGAAAGCATCCATTATGCCATTATGTGTGAGTAGGTAGGAATGATAATTGACAATATGAACGCCTGATAGCCTTCTTGTAGATTATTCCCTAACCAGAACTAGTAAAATTCAGCAGACACAGTAGCATCGGAAACATGTATTTCCAAAACAAATGAGAGAAAAAATGGCCAAGAGTGCAAAGATACATGGTGTATATTGATCCACTTGCAAGGCTCGAATAACACACACTAGCTGCATGCTGGATTGGTTGACGCCAACCATGCAACATGTGGATTGTCTTTATCTGACTAGCAGACAAATAAGATTGTGGACACAAGCTGACAGACTGATGAAACAAGCCGTGGGTGCACATCACCTCAATTATTCTTCCAGCTCAAAAAAACAACTAAGACAAATCAAGACGGACGATAGGTACCGAAGATTACCAAACTAGAAATCAAACCAACTGACATACACGAGACAGAATGAATTCAATTTGATTTGAAAACAAGTGGATACTCTCACACATTTCTGAAAATTTCATTATATTAGTAAGGTGTGCATAGAGCTGGTGCACATTCATTTACAATCAGCCATCTATCCTATTGATAAAATTTCTATTTAAGCAAATCTACTTATATAAATGAAAGATTTTTATACGCCATTTTATTTCCTGGTTTACTATGTTTAACTCTGCATATTTGACTAGAAGATGATTTCAGTCCTCATAAAGGACATTTTAGCAACGTGACTTCTTGCATTTACTTGAGTTATGGTTAGTGTCACGTTGCTTGATTGGCTTACGCGTATTCAAATAGAGTGAAGTAATTTCACTGCTTAAATTCATGAGAAAATGCACCTTTTGGCTACTGCCAACCTTAAGCATTAGTATGAAATTGTTCATCTCTCTGTCCCTGCGAAAACAAAGTCCGAAAGATATGTTAGACTTCAGAGAGGATTAGTAGAAAATAACGAGGATACGAATTTAAAAGCAATACTCAGAATGCACACTAACCTGCCTGTAGCATCGTAATACTGCTATCCGCCTCTGGAGGGAGGACATCAACCAAAGCATTGCTGTGTTTATGGAGGGCGACACTAGCACTTGGCTTTAAGAGTTCACGATCGATTGTGGATAAAATGCGAACATAGTAATTGGATCCTAATAACAAATGAATACTAAGAAAAAAAGTCGATCAATTACCGGTTGTTGATCCTACAATCCCAGTGCTTTGATCTACAGCTTCTAAAAACTGCCCGATAACAAGAGGAACGCTTTTAATTCGTTTGACCTCCTCTTGAGCGTGTAAGTATTCTTTCTTCAGATTCTTTTGTTCATCCTTGATGTAGTTTTCTTGAACTTGGATGAACTCGATCTGCTTTTTTAGGCTCTAAACAATACATCAGTGAGAGAAGCAGTTATTACCTTTAGTTTCACATACAAATCTTCTTCACTTAGCTGGAGCGGGTCCACATAACCGAAATTTATTCCTGAACTTTCTATAACCTCAGGTTCCTTATTAATTAGGCCTAATAATTAATAAACTATACCTTTACAGCCTGTGGAGCTAAGCCTAACTCTTCCATCTTACTAATCTTTGTAACGCACTAAATTGAAGTTCGTGGTGCCTGTAGCGCATTGATGAGTACGTAACAATGTGATTGTACACTTTTTGATTACTTGTATAAATTCGAGATATTGTACATAATTTTTGTTTAAAACGCTTCTTGTTGAAATATACATAACTTCCGTGTACAATTGAAAAATACACTCTGCTGTTGGAGACTTCGTCTTCTCCCTGGTCACTTCTGCTTACTTGCTCCACTCACACCGTGTTGTATACTTCGGATTTATTGTAGGAGCCTACTACTCTCAACCGAAGACATTTCTACAACCGGAACACAGCAGCTACAGCAGACGCAGTCCAAACAATTAACGTGCCCGTGGATTATATAATTAATTTGTAGCCGAGGACTTAGACGTTATATACAAGTAATCCTTTTTGTTGCTATAACTCGTCACTGTATTTTTGGTAATATATTGTGATTTAACACTCCACTGACTTGGATTATTACTTTTATACTTGGAATGTTAGTGAACTCTAATATTAGTCCCCTACAAATTAATTGGTGAGCCCGATAAGAACACGGATTATTTTGGCATATTCATATTCTTATTTTTGCTATTTTTATATTCATTGTGATTTTGTGTGTGGTTTATATTTGTATCCTAATTTGCACCAATAACCTCATATATATAATGTCATCACCTCAGTCCGGTACATCAAACGAGCAGACAACTAATAGCGAGACAAATGCCACAATAAATGCCATCACTGATTTTCGTTTACCCCAATACGGTTTCGCAGAACCAAGGATTTGGTTTGCGGTAATTGAACCGTTGCTAGAAGCACGGGGCATTAAGTCCCAAATAGCCAAATATGGTATGGTGCTGGCAGAACTCCCTCCGTCAGTATTGACAGAAATCAGCGATTTCATCGAAGATCCTCCGACGGAACATCAATTTGATAAACTTAAAGCCCTCCTCATACAACGTACCAGTTTGTCGGATGAGAAAAGAATCCAACAATTGCTCACAGGCTGTGAACTAGGCCCACGTAAACCATCCCAGCTGCTCAGGCACATGCGCCAGTTAATCGGAAATCATAAAGTAGACGAGGTAGTGCTGAAACAGATGTGGTTGCAACGTTTACCTAGAAATGTCCAGCAAATTTTAATCATCTCAGGAAAGTCGTATGACTTAGACCAACTAAGTGACATGGCAGATAGTATTTTGGATGTTTTATCCGATAACACCATAAGTCACGTAGCATCTGATAGTGCCACACCGTGTCATTCCACACCCACGGCAGACACACCGATACTCGCCGCCATTGCAGACTTAGCGGCAAGGATTGACAAGTTGGAAACTAATAAGTCTGATCGACAAGTCCGGAGACGGAGTTCACAAAGAAGGTCACCATCACGACGACGATCCTTCTCACGACAGCGTTCTTACACGTCTTCTCGGGATAGCAATATATGCTGGTATCACTGGAAGTTTGGACGTCATGCCCTGAAATGTGTAAAACCGTGCAGCTTTAGCGAAGCCAACCAGGCTCAGGGAAACGCCTCAGCCAGACAGTGATGGCGACAGCTGTTACTGGCAAGCAAACAAGTCGCCTCTTCTATGTGAAGGATAAAACTTCAGACACTTTATTCCTGGTAGACACGGGAGCAGAAGTTAGCGTAATCCCTCCTTCACTATCCAGGCGATCTACACGGACACCCGGAAAACTGTCTCTCCGGGCAGCTAACCACACAAGCATACAGACGTATGGAGAGCAATCCCTCATACTGGATCTAGGTTTACGTCGGCGTTTCACATGGATTTTCATAGTAGCCGACGTCAGTCACGCCATCCTCGGAGCAGATTTCTTGAGTAATTTCAACCTGTTAGTTGACGTCAACAATAAAAAACTGATTGATAACAACACCCATCTAAAGATCCATGGAATTATCTCCAGCTATTCTGTCTATAATATCAGTATTGAAAGACCAGCAGATTGCCCTTTTTCCTCCCTACTTCACCGTTTCCCTAAAATTCTTAAGCCGTCGTACAACATCGAGGACGTCCCTCACACAGTTACTCACAAGATAGTTACTACGGGTCAACCAGTTCGTGCTCGTCCCGTAGATTACCCCCGGACAAATTGGCAGCAGCCAAGGCAGAATTTGAACACATGATGCAGCTCGGCATCATCAGACCCTCCAATAGTCCTTGGTCTTCGCCCTTACACATGGTGCCTAAAGCTGATCATGATTGGAGGCCATGTGGGGATTACCGACATTTAAACAATGCCACAGTTCCCGACCGTTATCCTATTCCTCATCTTCATGATTTCTCCCTGACATTACACGGAAAAACCATTTTTTCTAAAGTAGACTTGGTCAGGGCCTATCACCAAATACCAGTTGCCCAAGAGGATATCGAAAAAACGGCCATCATCACACCTTTCGGTTTGTTTGAATTTCTCCGCATGCCATTTGGCCTAAAGAACGCAGCACAATCCTTCCAACGTTTCATGGATCAGGTCACACAAGGTTTGGACTTTGTATTTGTATATATCGATGACGTTTTAATTGCTAGCTCGTCGCCCGAAGAACATACTGATCACCTCACCATCTTATTTCAACGATTTGAGCAATATGGAGTCGTCATTAACCCCAAAAAGTGCATATTCGGTGTCTCCTCTATACAGTTTCTGGGACACCACATAACCGCGAATGGTATTACGCCTACGGAGGAAAAGATAGAGTCCATCAAAAACTTCCCCGAACCAGATTCACTCAAGAAGGTCAGACGTTTTTTGGGGATGTTTAATTTCTATCGGCGTTTCATTCCTTCGTGTGCCTCCATCGTCCAGCCGTTAACCGACCTCCTTAAAAATGATCCTAAAAAGTTTCAGTGGTCAGCTGAAGCACACGAATCATTTTGCAACGCAAAAGATGCCTTATCCAGAGTCACTATGCTATCCCATATCAACCCCGAAGCGTCGCTTATTTTGTGCACAGATGCCTCCCAAGTAGCTGTAGGGGCAGTATTACAACAAAAGATGAAGGGCGAAGTCACCCCACTCGCATTCTTTTCTAAGAAGTTGGAACCGGCTCAGACACGATACAGCACTTTTGGGAGAGAATTGCTGGCCATATATCTTGCAGTGAAGCATTTCAGTTACTTACTACAGGGCCGGCATTTCACTATTTTTACTGACCACAAGCCCCTGTGTCATGCTTTCACTACTTCACTCGATAAACACTCCCCTAGAGAAGCCAGACAGTTGGATTATATCTCCCAATTTTCAACCGACATCAGTACATCAAAGGGGATGCGAACGTGGTAGCCGATTCTCTTTCAAGAAGTGACATTAACCAGCTCCAAACGTCGGTAGACATCAGTCTTGATCGTATGGCTCAATTACAAAGAGATGACGTTGAACTCCAAACCTGCCGCAGAAACTCTTCCTTACAGCTCAAAGATGTGCCTATCCCCTTATCAGATGCAACCATAGTCTGCGATGTATCTACCGGCACTAATCGTCCATTTGTCCCTCTCAGTTGCCGAAAAGCATTGTTCGAACATTTACATTCGCTTTCTCACCCTGGAGTACGCGCCACGGTCAGACTGATCAGCGAACGCTTCGTGTGGCCTAAAATGAACTCTGACATTCGGAGATGGGCACGAGAATGTATCCAATGCCAATGCTCCAAAGTACACCGCCACACTATTACAACCCCGAAGACGTTTAAATTACCCGAAAGGAGATTTCAGCATATCCATATAGATATCGTGGGACCATTGCCAACATCAAGGGGATATACACATATCCTGACAGCGATTGATAGATTTACTCGTTGGGCTATTGCATGCCCCTTAAACGACATATCTGCTGAAAACGTTGCTTTAGTTTTTCTCGACCGTTGGGTGTCAAACTACGGTGTACCAACTACTATTACATCCGACCGCGGTCCTCAATTCCAATCGACACTCTTTCGCGAACTGACGAGACTTCTGGGAGTGAAACATATCTCCACAACAGCCTATCATCCGGCAGCGAATGGTCTAGTGGAAAGATTCCACAGACAACTGAAAAGCTCCCTGATGGCGCAGAATGATACATCTAAGTGGAGTGAATACTTACCTTTGATTTTACTTGGTATCCGTTCTACTATCAAAGAAGATTTAGGATGTACACCGGCTCAACTTGTCTATGGCACCAACCTAACCTTGCCTGGACAGCTAGTCCCCTCAGCCGATTCCACAGACGTGAACATTGCCGACTTCACTAACCGATTAACTAGACAAATGCTTCAACTTCAACCAACAGCACCTCGACAATCTCCCCGACGAGATCAGATCAACAAACATCTACAAACTTGCAAATTCGTCTTCATTCGAGTCGACGCCATCAGAAAAGGATTGCAACCTCCATACGAAGGACCCTTTCAAGTTATTAAACGTTCAGACAAACACTTTACAGTGAACAAGAATGGAAGACGAGAGACTGTTTCAATTGATCGAATCAAACCCGCATACACCGACAACGACTTCGAATCTACATCGGCAGCTGCGCAATCAAATAATCAAACATCCGATTCCACTCCACCGGCACCAAGTCTTATCCTCCCTCCATATCAAACACGTAGTGGTCGGCAAATCAGTAAACCGGCTCGCTACGTTCATTTTGAGGACTAACAAAAGAAAAATAATTAAAAATTATTATTATCTTTTTCGTTTAGACATTATCATCATGACCGTTAGTATTTCGTCGTAAACTTTGATGTTACTATCACTATTATTTATTTATATGTACCTCACCTAAAAAACAGGTATTGTCCTTTCCAAAAACTATTGATCTTTAATCCATATTTTTTTTAATGTTTCTTTCCCCTCCTTAATTACTGTGTATTTACATATTTTTCTTTATACATTAAAAATCTATGTTCATGGTTAGTGCAAATTTAAGTGACATGACTTTCTATTTCAATTTTTATTGCTGAACTCATTGTATATGCTTTCAGACTTTACATGATTCACATACCTTCTCGCGTTTATGCATGTTGTAATATATCCCTATTTTTATCCAAAAGTTGCTATTACTATTA